TTGAGCAAAGGCACCAAAGTCTCTGTGTCCTGGTGCATAATATTACCTGGCACATGGTAGCTGCTCAATAAAATTGTGTTGAATTAATTAATTGATTAATTACCAAAGTGAATAGGAGGTGAGAAATTCTAGGGACAGAACAACCCAGAAATATAAAGGAGAATAGGCACCCAATTCTGACCAAAAAAGATTCAAGGAAAGGGTTGTGAGAGGTTTCTGGGAAGATTCTTCTTCATTCTTAAAAGAGAGCCATGGAAAGCCTGTTTCTCTCTCCTGCAGGACATGAGTGAAGATGCATGCTGTCCTGTTTGCTACCAGCTGCTATTTTGCAACCATTAAGCAAGCTTACACTGTGGACAACAGAGAGGAGAGACAGACCCCCATACTGTCAACTAATGTTGAACCTACGGTTCCTCCACCCCTGGACTTCTAGTTATGGGAGCCAATAAACTTTCTCACTAGTTAAGTCCATGTGGGCTGTTACTTGAAACCCAAAGCCTCCTTAACTAATACATATCTGAGAAGCAATAAAGAAAAACTTTTTTAAAAAAATGAGAAAAGCATGTTGAAGATGATGAACACAACATGCCACTATTAATTGTGTAGCCTCCTTAAAAACTAATCTCAAAAAAATAGCAAAATGAATCACTGCTATAAATATATATAGATCTCCTGTGCAATTGATACAGCATTAAAATTTTATCAAATGATTCAGATATACTTTCTGTGAAAAAAGGTATTCGGCTTTTACTGAATGGACTAACAATAGATTAGACACTATAGAAGAAAATACTAATGAATTTGAAAGCACAGCAATAAAATATCCAAAAGGAAATACATAGAGAAAAGACTGAAAAAAATATGAACAGAGAGCATTTTTAAGCTATGGAAAAACATCATATGGCTCAAAATATATGCTACTGGGATCCCCAAAGGAGAAGTGAGAGTGGAAAGAAAAGTATTTTAAAAAATAATTGTCTAAATTTTTCCAAATTTGATTAAAAACTATAAATCCACAGATCCAAGAATAAACAAATCACAAGCACAATAATCATGTACATCAAGCACATCATAATCAAATTGCTTAAAACCAGTGATAAAGAGAAAATCTAAAAAGCAGTCAGAGGAAAAAGACATTATAGAGAGAACAAAGATTAAAATGACAGCAGACTTCTCCTCAGAAAGAATGCAAGACAAAAGACAGTGGAGCATCATCTTTAAAGTAATAAAAGAAAAAAAAGATCAACCTAGAGTTCTACACCCAATGAACATTTTTTTCAAAAGGAAAGCAAAGTAACGACTTTTGCCGTCATGCAAAAGTTAAAAGAATTCATCACCCATGGATTTGCATTACTAGAAATGTCAAAGAAAGTCCTTTAGGTAAGAGATAAATTATACCAGATGGAAATATGGATCCACACAAAGGGATGAAGAAGCCCAGAAATGGTAAATATATGGATAAGTACACAAGCCTTTACTTCCTATTTTTAAAATCTTTTTAAAAGATATTTGACCATTTAAAGCTAAAATAATAATGTTTTGTGGAGCTTATAACATATGCAAAAATAAAATGTATGACAACAATAGCACAAAGACCAAAAGGGAAGGGAGAATGAAAGAATACTGTTATTAGGTTCTTATACTATATGTGAAGAGGTATAATTTTACTTGAAGGTAGGCTGTGATAAGTTAAAGATGCATACTATAAACCCTAAAGCAACCACTAAAAAAATAAAAATAGAGTTATATCTAATAACCCAACAAAAGAGATAAAATGGCATCATAAAAAATGTACTCAAATCAAAAAAAGGAAAAGAGGAAAAGCAAACAAGAACAAATGTGACAAACAGAACACAAACAGTAAGATAGCAGATTAATCCTAAACATAAGCAATAATTGGACTAAATGTAAATGGCCTGAACACCCCAATTAAAAGGCAGAGATTGTCGGATTGGATAAAAAGCAAGACTCAACTAAACACTGCCCACAAGAAGTCCACTTTAAATATAAAGATACAAATAGGCTAAAACTAAAAGCATAAAAAAGATCTATCATGTTAAGGTTAATCAAAGGAAAACTGAAATAGCTATATTAACACCGGACTAGTAGATTTCAGAGCAAAGAATATAATCAAGAACGCAAAGAATCATTTAACAATGATAAAGGGGTCAGTTCATCAAGATGTATAACAATCCTAAATACTTTTTCAACCAATAAGTCTGAGCCCACCAAAACAAGAAAACAGAAAGATGCCTTTCATGGTGAAAGTGCAGTATCAACATTCCTGAACCAAAACTGAACATTGCTAAAATGAGGCTTAAGATCTTCCTTATATAATAAATGGCATGCAACTCTACTAATAAAATTATAATATCTAATGGAAATATTTATGACTTTAGCGCCAAAGCTGATCAAAGTGATCTAAAGCTGACTCACCTTTCATATTGCCTATCTCGTGGTAATGAAGCACCCCAATGTGGAAAGTCCATGATTAACATAAGTAAAAGGAGACAGGATATGAAGAAGAGTCCCAGGAATGCCACCCGCTGACGGGGAAATGGGCTCACTGTGGGCACAGTAAAGTTCCAGGAGGCTGGACAGAGGTAGGAAAAACTGATCCTGAAATGAGACAAACATTAGTAAGTCTAGAAAGTCTCTACAGTTGAGTGCTTAAAAACAGTTTTTTAATTGAATAAAGCCCTCTTAATAAAGGCAAAAATTCATGCCAACAGAAGTGTAAACATTCTTTCAGTCTCAAATTTTAGAAAAGGACCTATATGGTTTATGGTGCTTCTACTACATAAATCAGATAAGCCTTATCTGCTCTTTTTCCATACTCTGCACTTTTGTGTACAATTCAAAGAATTAACCTTATGTTAATGAAAAAATCACCTATCTCCCCAGGCAACTTCATAACATTGGAGAATCAGAACAACTACAACATTCCCACTAAGAATGCTGTCAAGAAAATGGATACTCATAAAGTTATTCAACTGACTTTTAAAAATGTTTTAATAGGATATATTTTCACATGGTAAAAAAACAAACGAAAAAGTTTAAAAGGACATACTGTATAGTAAAAGGTGAATCTTTTGCTCTGACCCTACCATCTCTCTCTGAGGCAACCACTGCTACCCAGTTTCTATGTATTTTTCCAGGGATATTCTATGTTTATAAGCATACATACTTATAAGCATAAGTATATAGCAATATATATGGTAACATATCTGTGTGTGTGTGTGTGTGTGTGTGTGTGTGTGTGTGTGTCAGCATTCTCTTGGTTGTACACAATGGTAGTACACCATACCTATTGTTCTGCATCTTTCTCCCACTTATTCTATTTAACAATTGTCCCTGGCCGGCCTGTGGCTCACTTTGGAGAGCATGGTGCTGACAACACCAAGTCAAGGGTTAAGATCCCCTTACCGGTCATCTTAAAAAAAAAAAAAAAAAAATTGTCCCATATTGGTACATGTAGATCCACATTAATCTTTTTTAAAAGCTTCAGAGTATTATAATGTATGGATAAGTGCATTCAGTGTGAAGTTCACTTCCTATATTGAGTCAAAAGGACCTCAGTCTTTCTGCTTTTTTTTTTTTTTTTTTTTAAAGATGACCGGTAAGGGGATCTTAACCCTTGACTTGGTGTTGTCAGCACCACACTCAGCCAGTGAGTGAACCGGCCATCCGTATATGGGATCCGAACCCGGGGCCTTGGTGTTATCAGCACCGCACTCTCCCGAGTGAGCTACGGACCGGCCCAGTCTTTCTGCTTTTAATGTTCATTACGGGGCTGGTTCATTAGCTCGCTCGGTATAGTGTGGTGGGTCAAGGGTCAGATCACAGCACTGGCCAGCTGCCAAAATAATTAATAAATAAATAAAGGTAACTGCAGAGGGGGAAAAAACTGTTTAACCTCCTCAAGAGGCACCTAGCCTCATTCAGATGGAAATTTAAAAGAACATCACAAGCTAGCACTTTTCAGAGTTGAGTGAACAGACTCATTCCACCACCCTGGGGTTAGGGGTTTGAAACTATTGCTTATCTGCCTTCAAAAGAATACAGCTTTGATCATCTTTGCATCCACCTGCCCAGGATGCAAAGTCCAGGTGCATCCCTACGGCAAACCTCACTTAGCCTACCAGGGCCCCCCCCCCCAACCTACCTGCCATCCGCTACGGAGCCCGCAGCAGGGGAGAAAGTGTGCAGCCTTACCTAGCCATGGATTCCACCTTCAGGGGTCTCAACGCCTGTCACCTCCTTTTCCTTTTGCCCTGCGAAGGTGGCCTCCTTGTCCCAGGCATCTCCTAAGTGTGCAGCCTGGAAAGAGTTGAGGATTTCAGGCTTACCTCCAGCAGCGCCCACGAGACTAGACCTCCACGAGAATTCCACGGCTCCCACCCCCTCCCCGAGCTCCCACTCCAGCTCCGTCCGCTCTTGTTCCTCAGGCCCAGCGGACTCTAGCTGGGCATCCTGTGGCGGGGCGTTCTCGTGGGCAAGCTCCGTCCTCGAGGAACTGCCGTCTCCGGGTGCCGATGGGCTAAGGGGTCCCTGCTTCCTCTCCCCTTCTCTCCCGGTCCCGCAGCCCTCCCACGCTCACACTCACGGGATGGAGCGGCCCGCCGGCTCCCTCGGCACAGCTCCGCTCGGTGCTAAGCGGCTCCAGCGGCCTCTCGTCCAGCCGGAAGAAGGGCCGGAGCCGGCTGGGGCGCCACGTCCCCAAGGAAACAGCAGGGAGCCAATGACTGACAGGGCACTCACTAAGAGGGGCCCGCCCCCCCACGCACCCGGAGCCGCGGGCGAACCGGTCTCGTCAGCAGCACGTCCATCTACCAGAGTGGCCAATCCCCAAGAAGGCTCGCCTCTAATGCCCGCCCCGGGATTTCGAGCCGCGTCCAATCGGAAAGGCGTCGTGCCGAGGCTCCGCCCAAAGGGACAAACGACAGGCGCGCGGATGAGTGGTGAGTGCCGAGCAGCGCTGCGCCCGCTGCCCTCTCGGGGGCGCGAGTTCTCTGCTGGTGGCTTTCTCCGCGGCCCCTCCCGGGACAGAGCTGTTCCAGTGGGTGGGTCTCGGGTGTTAGCGGCAGAAGTGCATCTCTCGCCCACCGCGTACTGGAGATTTCGTGCCCCCCAACCCTCCCCGACAGAATGGTAATTCGCCCACTTTAAACGGTCTTTGTCGCCTCCCAAACTGACGCCCTGGCCTCATGGTCTTGACCCGTGAGAAAAACGCAAATTAGAGACAGTGACGTCTACATCAAAGCGCTGTGTCCATTCATCCAACATTCATTGAATGTCTGCTGTGTGTTATGAGCTTCTGTGTCGCTGTCCTTTTGGACCTTACAGTAAGTACATACAACGGCAACGGCTCCCTAATGTTTTTATTCTTCCTTCCTCACGTCAGCCGTATCTCTCATTTCCAGGAGGGAGCCGCTGGAGCAGCACAAAGTCCAAGCTCTTTCCAACGTGGCACTTAGATCACCATCCGTGACCCGCCCCTACTGCATCTTCTGCCGCTCCTCGCCGCCGTGTTACGGTCCAGCAACACAGCCCGGTGGTTTCCGGCCTCTGGCTCTGCTTGTTCTGTCCCTCCACCTGCCTTGAATAACCTTCTTCAGTCTCTTAACCAGACCAAGCCTGCTCATCCCTTACCATTCGGCTTAAGGGTCGCCTTCCCCCAAAAGCCTTACTTGACCTCCACCTCCTTTATACACACCTATTGTTACACTTACCACACTGAGTTACAATTATGTGTCTGTTTGTCCCGCTAGATGGAATATCCTTGAGGGCAGGGACTATCTGCTTCCACGTATTCCCAGTGCTGGCCACTGTATGATAAATAAGTGAATGAATGCCTGTAGGGGAAAAACGAAGACCACCCAAATGAAAACAAAGAGGCTATTTATTCAAAGCTGGTTATAACAAGGGAGTCAGTCATGTCACTAGGGTTTGGCAGAGACTCAAAGGCTGTCAGGGGAGTGGGAAAACTTAATAAGTGGAAAAAAAAGGGAACGTTGGCTAGCAAGAAGCACAGCATAATATGTGATTGGTTTGGGGAAGCATATTCGGCCATCTCTAGTTGGTCCTGAGTTGGAGATGGGGAGGGGGCGAAAAAAAAAATAGGGAAGCTGACAGTCATTGACCAAGCCCTGATCATTCTGGGTCAATTGCTGCAGAGGTTGTGGATCAGAGTTCTAATGGTTGTATATTCTGTCTCTCATGATGGTTGTTTCCTCCCGCCACTGCTCTCCCAACCTGGTTGGGCTTCCTAATTTGCCTTTCCCCAATTCTCAGATCTCAATTTTCTCCTCTGTTCCTCGGTCCCTACACTTTTTAAAGGGTTATATTTTATCTGGGCCCCCAAAAACCACATTTAGTAGAATAGTTGCATAACGTTGGGACTAACCACAAAATTATACAAATATCAGATACTTTTATTGTTTCAGAGCCCAGTTTAGTGCCTAGAACAAGTTAGACATGGAAAGAACAATATTTTTGGAATAATTTTTAAAAATTTCTTGAAGTTCGGCTCCTGTGAGTTCCAAGTTTAATATATGTATATTTCAAACTCCATGTTTCACAAAATGGGTGTTTTTGAGTGGAAATAGAATTCCTATCTATTTTTTAAAAATACTTAATTCATATGGTTTATGAACTATATTAACTTATGATTCAAAGATGCATTGAAACATTATCTTACATTTCATAACTACAAAAGTACTTAAAGTTCACGGATCCCCAAACCGGCCAGCCAAAAAAAAAAAAAAATTCATGGAAAGATTTATATTATCTGTTAATTCTATTTTTCCACAAACTTTCTGAAGTACCCTCATACTATCATAAAACAGAAGAAACATCTACATTTTAATCCCAACACTTTATCATTACACTTTCTTCGTTGTGCTCACTGGCTGAGCGCGGTGCAGGCGACACCACACCAAGGGTTGCGATCCCCTTACCAGTCACAAAAAAGACAAAAAAAAAAAAAATTCATGGAAAGATTTATATTATCTGTTAATTCTATTTTTCCACAAACTTTCTGAAGTACCCTCATACTATCATAAAACAGAAGAAACATCTACATTTTAATCCCAACACTTTATCATTACACTTTCTTCGTAAAACTTTCCTTGTCAGTCTGCTTTGGATCATACTTCCATCAAAACATCCAGATGCCTACAGGCGTTTGTTAAGTATGATTCTTTAAGAAAACCTGCAGTGCTTATCTGATTAACAGCTCATAGGGCTGAATTCTGAGGTTTCCAATCTGCAGGCCAAATACAAAAGGGTTGAGACTATTTCTCTATTTCATTTGCTGTAACTCAACATGTTGTAACAAATTATAGAAATCCATATTTCAAAATATGCTTTTAACGGCTCCTTAAAGGCTTGTGTACAACTACATTTGCAGTTTTCTCAAGGGGTTCTTGATGCCCAGCCCTGAGCAAAATCAGCCAAACGAGACCCATATTACGTGTCAGTTGTCCGCATTGCTTCTCCTTAAAAACTCAGCTCAAATATCATCTCTTCCATGAGCTCCACAGTTGGCTTATTACTTCTTATTCCCTGCTCTTATAGCATTTTGGCCATATGTACTTCTATGAGGGCAAGCTGGCAGTTGTTAGAGTGGACCTGATACCAGGTGGCCTGGTAGGACAACAGAATATGTCTGTTTTGGACCTTAGTGGGTATGTTTGGTCAGAGAAAGTGGGATTTCCTGGGCTTAACCTAGGTGGGAGAGGTTTAGACCTAGAAGACTTAAGTTTCTCTGCAAAAAGAAAATACAGGGATTTTGAGCATTCCCTCTAGACTGGGTTTAGGGAGCTCTAACAAGGAAAGAAGAAAAAGAGGTGAAAGAAAAGAGGAGGAAGATAGTGACAGACAGGACTGAAAAGAACAGCCCATGAGAGAGTCCCTGGGTTATTTATCTATGGCTGCATAACAAATTACCCCAAAACTTCATAGCTTAAAATAACAATAAGTCTTATCTCTCAGAGTTTCTATGGGTCGGGCATTTGGACCAGCTTGGCTCGGGGTCTCTCATGAGGTTGCAGTAAACATGTCAGCTAGAGTTATAGTCCTCTGAAGTCTTAGCTGGGACTAGATGATATACCTCCAAGGTGGCACACTTGCATGGCTGGCAAGTTGATGCTGGCTGTTGGAGGGAGGCCTAAGTTCCATTTCGAATGGTACTCTTCCAGGGCTGCTTGGGTGTCTTCACGACATGGCAGCCTGCTTTCCCCAGAGTGATCCTAAAGAGAGAGAGCCAGGTGGAAGCTCTATCCTTTTTATGACCTAGCTGCGGAAGTCAAATGTCTTCACTTCTGCCTCCTGTTGTTAAAAGTGAGTCACTAACTCCTAGCCCATATTCAAGAGGAGAGCAGTTAGGCTCCACCTTTTGAAGGGAGAAGTATCAAACAATTTTCAGACATATTTTTAAATCAGTCACCAAGATGAGGTTGGTCAGGGAACTTTTGGATAATGACATTGACATCTAGTGTTCAATTTTAAGTTCTGTACTACATTACAATCCTCTCCCAAACCTTCAATAAATGTCTGATAACACCACAGCCTTGTGTTGGGGTACTTTGAGGAATGGAGGCATAGCAGTATAGAAAGATGACAGCAACTGCAGGAAGTAAATTAACAGGTAGGATGGTTGAAAATTTGGCATATGCAGAAAATCAATTCCATAGGTCATTCAAAGAATTGAAAGGCCTCTCCCCAGGGAGACCAGGGCAGGGAAGACTGGGTGGAGGTGTAGTGTGGCAAACTCTAAAATGCCCAAAGTACTTGGACTGGAGCATAGTATGGACATTTATCCCCTTCTCTTGGTATCCATCCCAGTTTTATTTAGGTGTGGACATCTTCCTTATGTGTAGCCCACACCATTGGAGGATTCTGACTCCCTTTCCTGACCCTAGGAGAGGGACATGCAAGCCAGGCCTAAGGTAATGGGCAAAATGCCATCCTTTGTTCACAGCTATTGTTTCAGGAGTAGGCACATGGCCCAATTCCAGATAAAAAGACATGTTTGCTGGGGCAAATAAGTGTATTTGCTTTTCTTAGAGAGCATATGAGAGAACAATTCTCTCTCTCTCCCCACCTCTCTACACCCCACTCCTACCCCCCAGATTCTTAATGACATCGTTAAGCCACCGAGTCAAACCAAACCTAAATTCCACTATGTTCTCTGGACGTCCAATTATTTGAGCTAATAAATCTCTTTTATTATTTAAATCAATATGAAATGGGTACTATTCTTTCAATTTTCTGTCTGACAATTTTCACAATTAAAATGTGGGGAAAATCTATATTAGATACCATTTTTCAACTATCAGGCTAGCAAAGATTAAAATGTTTGATAATACACTATGTTGGTGAAGTAGTAAAAGCACTCTATTCTTCCAGATGCTGAGACCCAAAGTCTTGAAGTCATTCTGAATTTATTTCTTGCTCTCCCATCCCACATCCAGCCCATCAGCAAAGCCTGTTGGCTCTACCTTAAGAATGTATCCAAAACCCAGCCATTTCTCACTAACCTCATTGCTACCATCCTGGATTATTGCAGTAGGTTCCTAACTGGTCTTTTTGCATCTAATTTGCACTCTGCAGTCTGTTCTGAACACTGCAAGCAGTGTGATCCTGTCCAGTGCAAACCCTGCAGTAACTTCTCATCTCACTTGAATCAAAGCCCTAGTCCTCACGGCCTGCAACCTACAAGGCTCTGTGCAATCTGCCCAACACATGGCCCTCTTGCCTCTATAACCTTGTTTCTCACTATTATTCCCTTCACTCCCTTTATTTCAGCCACACAGACTTCCTTACTGTATCTAGAACATAACAGGCCCTCTCTTGTTTTAGGTCTTTCGTACTTAGTGTTCAGTTACACAGGAGCTTTTGTGCATCTTTTCTCCGTACCTGGTGCCTTGCTCCCTTACCTCCTTCAGTCTTTGTTAAAGTGCAGCTTCTCAGTAAGACCCTCCCCAAATCATCCTATTTAAAATTATAACTGTCCTGCCCACCCACGCTTCCAATCCCCTTTCCTTTCTATATCATCATTTTATATACAATGTGTTTTACTTATTGGTTTATTGTCTGTCTCCCTGCAACTAAAATAATAGCATCATCAAAGCAAGAATTTGGCACTAAAAAGAATAAGGAAGCTCTTTATGTATACATATGAGAAGATCTCAGAGAAATAGTGTTAAATGAAAAACTGACAGTAACAAAAAACCTAACATCACACATAAAAACCAGCTTGAGATAGATTATAGTCCTGGATGTAAGGGCTAAAACTATAAAACTCATAAAAGAAAAAATAGGAGAAAAAACCTTAGTGGCCTTTGGTTTAGCAGAGATCTTTTAGATTCAATAGCAAAAGCAAGATCCACAAAAGAAAACTTAATAATTTGATCTTCATTAAAACTAAGATCCAGACTGGTTGGTTAGCTCAGTTGGTTAGAGCATGGTGCTGGTAACAACAAGGTCAAGGATTCACATCCCCATACCAGCCGGCTGCCAAAAAAAATAAAAATAAAAATAAAAAATTAAAACCAAAAAGATTTCTTCTTCAAAAGACACTGCTAAGAAAATGAAAATATAAGCCATACACTGGGGGAGAAAATTTCAAATCACATATCTAATAAAGGCCTTGTATCAAGAATACAAAAAAAATATTCCTTTTAAAGGAATCCTCAAAGCAAATAATAAGAAAACAAACAACTCAAGTATAAATGAACAGAAGATTTGGGCACTTCACCAAAAAAAGATATACAGATGGCAAATAAGTACATGTGTTAGTGATTGGGAAAATCCAAATTAAAACTACTGCAGGTTGAATATCCTTATCCAAAATGCTTGAGACCAGAAATGTTTTGGATTTCAAATTCTTTCCAATTTTGGATTATTTGCATTATACTTACCAGTTGAGCATCCCTAATCCAAAACTTCAAAATCTGAAATGCTCAGTGAGCATTTCCTTTGAGCATTATGTTGTCACTCAAAAAGTTTTAGATGGAGGAGCGTTTAAGATTGGGGATTTTCAAGGCCGGCCTGTGGCTCACTCGGTAGAGTGCGGTGCTGATAACACCAAGGCCACGGGTTCGGATCTCATATAGGGATGGCCGGTTGGCTCACTGGCTGAGCGTGGTGCTGACAACACCAAGCCAAGGGTTGAGATCCCCTTACCGGTCATCTTTAAAAAAAAAAAAAGATTTGGGATTTTCAGATTGGGACTACTCAAACTGTACTTCATATCCACTGGAATCACTATAATCCGAAATGACATACAATAATTTGCCAGAAACGTGGTACCAAGTGCTACCATGTCACAAGGACATTCAAGAAAGTCTCTGGAGAGGCCCACAGGGAGGTAAACTGAGGCCTCCTGCCAACAGCCAGCACGGGCTTGCCTGCATGTGAGTGAGCCCTCGTGGATGTGCATCCTCCAGCCCCAGTCAAGCCTTCATGTAACTGTAGCACTAGCCAACTATATCAAATTCCTCACCCACAGAAACTGATAATATTTATTGTTTTAAGCCACTAAATTTTGTGATAATTTGTCATGGAGCAGTAGATAACTAATACACAACCACATAGGATTAAAAGAAATAATGAATGCACTGGCTAGCACATAACAGTAAGCCCTTCATAAAAGTTAGCTGTTAGTTATAGTTGTTGTATGATGCCTGCATGTCTTTTTCCACCAGAGATTGCAAGTTTCTTGAAAAGGAGGACTGCAGCTCAGTCTTTCCTTTCTTTTTTTCTCCCCCCAGCAACCTGGCCAGTAAGGGCATCTGAACCCTTAGACCTTGGTGTTACAAGGTGGCACTCTAACCAACTAAGCTAACCAACTAGCCCTCCTTTTCTTTTGCACTCTGCCTCTCCTCATTCTCCTTAACACAATGCTGGGCACACGTGTAACTGAAGCCCAATAAGTAACATTTAAGGTGGATGAATTAAATCCAAATGTGAAGCAATTTGGCTTTGTTAGTGTGAGGATAACTTTCCATTTCCTAAAATGTTGGATTATCTCTTCTGGAGCAGTTGATGTAAATGCCTGAGCTTTTACATTCTAGTCTGTAATGAGTAAGCTGTAAAGGCAAGAAAGACTAAGGGATAAAGAGAAAAGAGCTGATTGATTAAAAGGAGGCAATGAAAGAATAAATAAACTGAAAACCAAGGTCCAGAGTTTGATCCCTGTACCAGCCAGCCACAGGAAAAAAAAAAAAGAAAGAAAAGAAAAAAGGAAGCAATGAAGAAATGAGCATCAGATAAGGCGGAAGACCAAGTAAGAGGGTCGGATGTGCCTGTAATAAAAATGTAGCAAAAAAAAATGGGAGTACTACCTGAAGTACAGTCAGGAAAATCACACACAAAGATAACTCAGGGATTCAAGGTTTATGGGTCGAGGCCTACATGTGCTGCCATAATGGGTTTTTTTTGTTAATGATGATGATGTTGTTATCCTTAATGTTTGCTGCCTCTATAACCTGGCTAGCTGTTTTGGTAATGCCCCATGTTTATAAAGGATTCAGTACCACAGAGCATTAAAAACACATCACATCTACTTACATAAACAACCCAAACCTCATCCCCTGCCGATAGTTTGTCTTCTTTCTGTGTCAAGGACAGTAGACCATTACAATCTTTGATAACATTCAGGGAAAACTTTGTAATTCTAGCCACTTTATGTAAGAATTTAGTGTGCTCTTTATGACACAAAGTTCATGCAGTAACTAAGGTCACATATGACATGGGCTTGACGTGAGGATGTTATTGTTAGGAGAAAAGGAGGCTTATATGTGAGATATCCCAAATTTGGTGCTGTAGTCTAGCAACAAGCTGATTGTGTAAAATGAGTGAAGGACAGTGACTAATCATGGTCATTTTGGTTTCTTGCTTGGGAGTTATGAAATATGATGCCTTTGATTTCTGTAATGGTGGATAGACAGTTATAAAGGAAAAATAAGTAATAATAATTACAATAACTGCAATATTAATAATCAACATTTATTGAGTTCTAACTAGATGCCTGATAGTATACTAGGCACTTACATTCTTTTTCTAATTTAATCCTCAAACGATCCAAAGAAGTATCTGCTATTATTGTTATTACCATTTTACAGATGAAGAAACTGAAGCTTAGGTCAAATAAGGGAACTTCAGTGACCTGTGCTACCTTCCCATTCTCATTTTCTGATGAGGAGTCATGACCAAAGCAAAGATGGGATGGGTCAGAGATGAGGCTTTCTGTTTCTTCCTTTTTTATCATTTTGGCCAACTCAATTTTGGCAGTCTATTACCTTGATCTAGAGAGGCAGCAGATCTATTTAAGAGTTTACACTCTAAAGTCAGGCAGACCAGGTCTGAAACCTGGCTTCACCACTTACTAAGATGTATGACCTCGAGGAAGTTATGGTCTTTACAGCTTACTTCCTTATCGATAAAATAAGAATAATGGCCCAGGGGTCCTTGTCCAGAGAAACACCCTCAGCTGGGAAGTCAGTTCCTTACTCTCCTCTGTTGTTTGAACATGTTGTGGACTAAAGCAGACACTGTCCCAGGCACCTATAGAAAAGTTGTGGCTTCTCGAGCTCCCAGGAAGGTGCTTGGTTCCTCCACCTCTGCCATTAATTCTACAACGCTTTCGTTGACGAAAGCTGAAAATAAGTATGCAGGAGGGAATCCAGTTTGTGTGCGCCCAACTCCCAAGAGGCAAAAAGGAACTAGCAAATTCTTCAGGTCGTCCCCTAAAGATTCTGAAAAAGAGAATCAGATTCCTGAAGAGGTAAGAAGCAGTGGCTTAGGAAAAGCAAAGAGAAAAGCATGTCCGTTGCAACCTGATCCCACAGATGATGAAAAAGAATAGAACTTTCTTATTCATCTTTGAATAATGTCTCCTGTTTACTCTGGTATTCTAGGATGTAAATTTGCATAAATATGTTTCTTCCAATTAGCTTTGTTGAATAGGCATTTAATTTTAAAAATTAGACTTAAATTTGGTTGTTCAAAAGTAAGTAGTTATGAAATTGGAGAATTTGTAAGATTAATTGTGGTTTTTTAGCTTAGTATTCAATATAATGCAGTATTTGGTGTCTTTTACCTGCTATTAAGCTTCTGGTTCTTGCTAAAATCAGATCATTGCGTGGTGTTCTAATTAGAAGTCTGCGGTATTTGAGATTTGCTTAGATCTTCGTACTGCTGCCATTTTTATTGGCATTTGATTATTGAAATGGTGCCATATTTTTGTTGCTTTTATTTACTTTAAGAAGCAGAGTTAGATTTTTGCACATTAAAAAAATTCAGTAATAAACTAACCTCTACCCCTTTTCAAAAAGGGAACCAAAGATGCAAGGTTGAAAAAATTTGGATGGATATCTTCTCCTTAGGAAAATTTAAGGACAATTTGGTCTTGAGGCTTTCAATGGTTGTTAATCAAAGCAACTACAAAAAACAAGATAAAATACCGGCATAGAATCAGGTAGGAAGATCCCATAGGTTACATTAAAAGAGGGGAATTTTCCTAGGATAAGCATTTGATTCAATATTATAAAATATTACCCTTTGGGCCTGTACTTTTAAAGTTGGAAAACAATAAAACATGAAAGGTAAATCATGCCATAAACCCAGAGCTCTGTCTAAAGTCCTTAGAGTTACTATTACATTTTTGAAGATAACCAGCAGTATAATTGAAGAGGTGGGTATAATATTGTTAACTGATATTCTTGCTTCCTCATCACACTTTGCTTGCTGATAGTTTGTTGTCAAAATTTACCATGTTTTAACAAGCATGTTTTTCTGAAATTTGTTTGTAATAAATGAATATTTATTCAGTCTTTTTCCACAGCAACCAAAATGACCTTTTCAAAATGCAAAATTGGACCATCTTATACAACTCCAACTTAAAATTCCACAGTGGGATCCCATTGTTTTTAAGATATAAACTGATCCCCTTAACATGACTTTCAAAGCTTCTCATGGTCTGGCCCCTACTTGCTTCCCAGGACTCATCTCAAACTATACTTCATCTGGCCCCCTTAACACTGGCCCTATCCTCTCATCACAGGACTTTTGCAATATGATATTACCTTTGTCCAGAAAGTTCTGCCTCCCTTACCTCTTCTGCCTCTCCTCCGATGTAACCTAATTAACTCTTCTTAACTTTAAGATCTTATTTCTTTTTTTTTTTTAAAAAAGATGACCGGTAAGGGGATCTCAACCCTTGGCTTGGTGTTGTCAGCACCACGCTCAGCCAGTGAGCAAACCGGCCATCCCTATATAGGATCCGAAGTTCTGCCTCCCTTACCTGTTCTGCCTCTCCTCCGGTGTAACCTAATTAACTCTTCTTAACTTTAAGATCTTATTTCTTTTTTTTTTTTAAAAAAGATGACCGGTAAGGGGATCTCAACCCTTGGCTTGGTGTTGTCAGCACCACGCTCAGCCAGTGAGCAAACCGGCCATCCCTATATAGGATCCGAACCCGTGGCCTTGGTGTTATCAGCACCGCACTCTACCGAGTGAGCCACGGGCTGGCCTTAAGATCTTATTTCAAATGACATTTTCCCTGTTGCATAACTCCCTAGACTAAGTCAGATCCCCTTAACATATGCTTTTGGTACATGATGTGCCTTCCCTTCATCGCATACATCTCAGTTGTAATTTTACATTTGTGAGTTTCTGGTTCATGCCTGTCTTTCCCAGCAAACCCTAAGCTCCACCAGAGAAGAGGCCAATGTCAGTATCACTGTATCCCTAGCACTTAGTTCAGGGCCTGGCACATACTGTTTGAAGAATAAATGAATTGGCCAGCACTATTAAGCTTTGCTGCCCACTGCTGTGTCATAGCTTTTAGCCTATGAAACAAACACTACCTGGGTGTTTGGAACTAGAATGGTGATAACAAAGCAGTATTTCTCAAAGTGTGGTCCGTGGACCACCTGTGTCATAATGACCTGCTCATAAAATGCAGATTCCCATGCCTCTCTCCCAGAGATATAATTAGTTAGGTCTAGGGTAGGGTCCAAAATTCTAGCATGTCTAACAAGCTCCCCTGTCTGATTTGAGAACCACTGGTAAGAAAGGAAGGAAGGAAAGAAACAAAAGAAAGGAAGAAACTGATTTTCAGCCTGATTACCTTTTAATAAACTCTCACAAAATAGTGGCAAGGGCTCTGTTTCCAGTCCTGGCTTCTGAAGGGCCTGTTGCTTCCAAGAGAACTTTCTAGAATTAAGGCCAAGATTAGGAAAGGAATGAGTCTTGCTCCCAGGATCCTGCTGGGTGGTGTTCTGATTACAATTGCAGGATACCTACAAGGGTTAGGTCTTGGTTTGTGGGGAGAGGGTGAAGAAACTGGAACTCATTGGATGAGTCACTGTTACCACCTAAGTGGAGATACAGCAGCTCAGACCCAGGATCCAGGAGCGTCTCATGTATCATTTATTAATTCAAATAAATTTTACCGAGAACTTAACAATGTTTCGAGTACTGTGCTATTCTGAAGATATAATGGTGTAGGGGGAAAAAAGAAAGTTTAAAAAAAAGATGTTCCCTTACCTGATGGGGCTTACCATCTAATGATGATATAGATACTAATAAAATAATTTTATAAACATATACAGAATTACAACTATGTAAGAGGGGACCTGAGGTACATGATGGAGGAGCTGATCAAGTTGGGGAGACCAGGGAAATAATTGAATTGGGATATGAAAACAATATGATTATAAATAAGATTTTGATTAATAATTATTTACATGAAAAGAAAAATTTTAATGGACTGTACTCTTAACAGATGGATGGGGCTTTGAAACCATTTTTAATTACATCATGGATCATTAGATGATGATTTTTTTTTTAGATTACTACTATTTATTGCTAAAGTGAAGTAGAGTTCATCACCAATTCTATTCCTATTTTTTGTTATTATAGATGTAAGTGCCAAGGAGCCTTTTTAAACAAATAAGTAAATGGATGGAGTTGTCAATCTTTGTCATTCAACTCTTCCATGTCCTAAAATTTTGTTCAAGAATTAGAAAGCAGCTCATTCACAAAAGGATGTGTTACTCATTGAAGTAATTACTTTCTCAGTCTCTGGAAATAATCACCAAAAGGATTTTACCAAAACTTACCAGTTGTTCTTGTTCCTCTTTCATTTAGAGGCGTTTTGATTTTGGAGCTAAAATTAGATGAAACTGGGGTTAAAATCCCATAAAAATGGAATCTGTGCATTTCACAATTTTTCTTATTGTGAACAAAATCCTATTTCAATTATTTAGGTTGTTTTAGGGTGCATTAAGAAGGCATTACAGATGGACAGAAATTTGTTTTGTGAAAATATTGTATACAGGTTTGTAATTTCAAAATTTAACAATAAGTTTAAAAGTATATATTTGATAGAATTAACGGAACATCTGAGGAGAAATTAATTCTAATTAAATTAAATGGTTTCCTAAAGTTCAGGGCATTATATCTTAGATTACATTTTGGAAACACTTTGTCTTGCCAGGTACATAAGTAGATGCTTTTAAGACAGCAGTTTTATCTACTTTGTAGAAATAAACAGCAAAAAGAAGAGAATGTATTATATGACTAATAGGTGCAGGGCTTACAAAAAGGTTTAAAAATAATTGTTTGGGGACATTTACAGAATTTATAATATGTTTCTTTCAAAGTAATAAGATATGATAGAAAAGAATAAATGAGCAAAAAAACCCAAGAGAAAATTTGGGGTTTTGGCAGTGAGAAAATTTGTGCCTAAATAAGAATGAATAAGGATTTGCTGTATCAACTAATTTTTTTCCCTAACTTTATCTGTTTTAACTTAATTTGAGTATGGTTATGAAATAAACTGAAACTTCCTACTGGACGATAACCACTGAAGCTAAAGTAATTTTTCTAGACTTTTGTTGAGATGGCATTAGGTTTCTTAGATCAAAATTGATAATTTTCCATGTTTTACCTTTTTTTTTTTTTTATAGAAATAAGGTTGTTTAGGAGAAACTTTTAAAAAAAGAACAGTATGATTGCAGTAATCACCCCCAGTAAAAGAGATGTGCAACGGGAGCAACACCGAGGGTTGCAATCCCGTTGCCGGTCCCCGGTCCGGTACGGGGGCAACACTGAGGGTTGTGATCCGTTGCCGGACACGGAAAAAAGACAAAAAAAAAAAAAAAGAGATGTGCAAAAAGAAACAGTTTATTGCTTAAATGATAAAACTGAAGTTCCAAAAGAAGATACTTTCAATATATCCCAATTAGATCTTTACTTTTAAAAAAACAGCTTTATTGAGATATAATTCACATACCATAAAAATCACCCAATTCAATGGTTTTTAGTATATTCACAGGGTTGTGTTGTGCGACTATCATCACAATATAGTTTTAACACATTTTCATCATGCATGCTTTTGGTTGTTCATGAGGTTGTTTTCCCATACGTTTATCTGCATTTGTATTTTTTCTTTTATGAATGTCATTTCTATCTGTAGGATCTTGGTGTTTTTCTTATTGATTTGCACAAGCTCTTTATAAATTAAGTCTAGTAACATTTCACTTGTCATATTTTTACAGACATTTTACCCATTTTGTTTGCTGTTGACAATTTTTTAAAAATTTTTATTGAATCAAAATTGATTATACATATTTTGGGTGTTCAACATTGAGATATGTTGATCAAATCAATATTGTTACAAATTGTAATTATTCTTTATGACCCTTGTCCAATCTCTCCCCATCCCACTCTCCCTCCCCTATCCCCCAATTACCCTAGATTTCTTCTCTCCTTCTGAAAGAATAATGGTTACTCTGTTGATTTGTTGCCTAGACGATCTGTCCAATGCTGAGAGGTGTGATCGGGTCCCCCAATATTATCACAGAGCAGATGCTTCTTCTGTTACTCTGAAATGGGCTTTGTAGAGAGAGACATCCTCTTCTTTTCTTTATCTCTGCTGGCGACTCTTCTTCTGTCAATGCACTCCAGTGGCTGGTAGACCATCTGCATGGTAGTTGTGGCATCTAGCTGCTTTCCTGGAAGCCGTGGTTATTGTGGTGGCTGTGGTGGGCCACCCACATGGAGGTGATGTTTTTGGCATGCTCCTTGGTGCTGGCAGCATGCCTGGTTGTGGAGAGTGTCTAATCCCCAGCTCCATACCTCAGGTCCTCGGGCAGGCCCTGAGGCACTGGTGGTGTGCTAGGATGTGGTAGTGGGGTCTGGTCCCCAGCTCTAAGCCTCGGGTTCCTGGGTGGGTCCCAAGGCACTGGTGGTGTGAGTGTTTTGGGGTGGGGGTCCTGCCCCTGGCTCTGTGCCTCATGTCC